AAAACAGTTGAATACATCAGGATTTTTTGATGAATAGAAAGATCCAAAGATCAGCATTTATCTGACATAAAAAGCTTTTGCAACATTATACATGCACTGTAACAAGGGGGGGGGGTTATTACTTATTTACTTTTATTATTACTTATTTAGCAAGAAAAAAACAGGGCAGCGGGCCAAATCAGCCGCCAGGCCACCGGGAATTCTTCCGGTGATCCCGATGGCCAGTCCGGGCCTGCTCATGATCTAGTTTTTGCAATTCATTGCACTCTTGAGTGCTGTTGTCAAGAATATGAAATTGAATTTATGAGTTGACTAAATTACCTCGCAAAAATAACTAAAATGCATCACAGTAAAAATTATTGGTTTTAATTTTGGAACATATTTATTCAAAATTAAATGGTTAATCTACTTATCACTTAAAATTTTTATTCATTTATTTACAGCTGTACATATGACAAATATATATTATATATATATATATATATATATAATTTATTATTTAAAAACAAGCAAAGTAATTCATAATTCTTAAAAAATGCATGTAAAGAATTTTGGAAAAACTGAATCAATGCATAAAGCTAAAACACATATTGTATCTAATAAGTAGACATGCAGCCTCAGTGGCACAGCAGTGAATAGTGTTCAATAAATAACATTTCTCAGTATTTATCAATCTTATGTTCATGATGTTTTCTGTCATATTGTCTCTTGTGCTGGATGACTGACATGTCTGTAATAGCCACGACAATTATCAATACAGAAACACACACACATACACATTAAAATAAATTATCTTGTGCTCCAGCAGAATCAGTATGCTTGTGTTTAGCATCAAGAAATCCAGTACATTTACTAAAATTAATGGATTTTTATTAATATACTGTAAAAATACTGGCTCAGGAAAACATCTCGTCTGGATAAGGGTGTTTTGAGGTGAACAAAATTGTAATTACTGGACTATAAAGTCATTTTACTCTATTAAATTGTTTATCCAAACCAAAGAGCAAGAGGGGGTGGCGACAGGGTGCGATATTAACGCCATGTTCATCAAAACGTGAAAGAATCGGTGGAACCTGTGTCTTAAAGCAAGTGAGCAAAGGAAAAACGTTTCAGACGACACAACCCAGTTGAAGTTCATTAGACCTATCGAGCTGGAACATTAGCCTGATTAAACGATTGCTGTTTTAGGGACTCTTAACCAAAGCAAATAAGAGAGGCGCACATCTGGAACCTGCCAAAACAAATCGCTCAAGCGCAGCAACGTCCGGTGCTTCATTAGCGAAGGATGATGAGCACGTTTAACCTGAGTTCGGAAGGAGGGGTGCAGAACGGCTGCTCACGTATGCCCAGACTCAGAGGTAATTACATTTCCATTCAGTGTGGCCTTTCACAGATTCCATTTTGCTTATCAAATATGTCCAAACCCGATCTGAGATCAGATTGGGATTCATAAAAGCTTATTAATCACAGCAGGCAAGAAGAACGACAGAGCTGGGGTAACTGAAAAAGGCTTCATAAGGTGTCTATGCGTCCATAATAAGTGAGGAATAAGAAACCACACACACACACCCCTCCTGGAGAGAGTGTGCATTTGGATGTGGCTTTAGACCATATTGGCTCTGGTATTAGCTTTATGTTCCTGGACTAATTAGTCTTCCAGGCCCATTAGAACTTTTGGATTTGATGTTATACATTAGCTTTGAAGATTTACCTGTTTGTGGGGCTTAACTTTACTGAAAACGACATGAATTTCCATATAGGTCAGGCTGGTTTCTGATGGTTCTAGTCTAGCTTTGTGGACAAAGTTTTACACCAGAAGAACCTGTCTGGTTAAAGAAATCTACCTGTTAGGTGGAAGTCTTTGAAGTTATTGAAGGGGAACAGGAACATCAGCACACCAACATCTCATGCTGAGCACCAGAACCCAAAGAAAACCAGCCCTCTAATACTTTTAGGGTCATTCAGTGTCAAATCAACCAAATTTCAGAAACTTCCCCGGCTCAAATTTTTGACTTGTCGATATTTTTGCTGAAGAAAGAGAAATACGTATGGTGCTGAAATCCAAAATATTAAATGTCACAGATGTACATTTACTGAGCAATCCACTATTTTGTAGAGGAGTGTCAAATGACAATTTTCACCTGAATTTCAGAGCCAAATTACAGGGGAGTAACAACGTCAGAACGATGGCAGCATTATTATGTTTTTTTTACACAGAGACTGATAGGTCTTTTAGTAAAA